GAGCAAGAAGGGCAGGGGGCAGAAGAGAAGGGCAGGGGGCAGAAGAGAAGGGCAGGGGGCAGCAGAGAAGGGAAGGGGGGAGCAGAGAAGGGCAGGGGGCAGAAGGAAAAAAACAGGGACACAGTCACTACCCATCACGTCAGTAACTGAACACCCTCAAAATGCTGCAAGAATCCCCTCCCAGGAGCCAGGGCCACATCTGCTTTACAGGAGGAAATGGCAGAATTCAGGCTTCCCAGTGCCCCTGGAAACGACAAAGCTGCTTCCTCCTCCCAGTGAAGAAATTTCACCCTGTTTCTGTACCTCACAGATTCGTTTCTGCTGCTCCAGAGTCTCCTTGGGCAGCTTCTTCCTCTCGATCTCCATGGAGAGGCCCACAATGTACTCCCTGCAGATGGCAATGAGCTGCTGGGCCTTGGGGACAGGAGAGAGGCAGGAACTGAGTCTCCTGCCCCACGGGCAAGGAGGTGATGAACAGAGAGAGTCACAGGGTGGTTGGGGTTCAAAGGGACCTCTGGAGATCATCCAGTCCAACCCCCTGCCAGAGCAGGGTCACCTACAGCAGATCCCACAGGAACATGTCCTGATGGGTTGGGAATGTCTCCAGAGAAGGAGACTCCCCAGCCTCCCTGGGCAGCCTGTCCCAGGGCTCTGTCACCCTCACAGCAAAGAAGCATTTCCTTATCTTTAACCCTCTGTGCTCCAGTTTGTGCCCATTGCCCCTTGTCCTGTCACTGGGCACTGCTGAGAAGAGCCTGGTCTCACTCTCCTGACACCCCCTGGAGATGTTGATCAGCATTGATGAGACCCTAACTCAGTCTCCTCCTCTCCAGCTGAACAGCCCCAGCTCCCTCAGCCTTTCCTCACAGGCAGATGCTCCATCCCCTCAGCATCTCAGTGCCCTGTGCTGGACTCTCTCCAGTAGATCATGGAATGGTTTGGGTTGGAGGGACCTTCAAGATCATCTGGATCCCACCCCCTGCATGGGCAGGGACACCTCTCACCAGCCCAGGCTGCTCCAAGCCCCATCCAACCTGCCCTCCAACACCCCCAGGGATGGGGCAGCCACAGCTTCCCTGGGCAACCTGGGCCAGGCTCTCACCACCCTCACACTCCACAATTCCCTCCTCAGCTCCAACTTCCAGCTCCCTCTCCCACTTTTCATCCCTCCCCCTCATGCCATCCCTCCCTGCCCTTGGCCCAAGTCCCTCCCCAGCTTTCCTGGAGCCCCTTCAGGCACTGGAAGCTGCTCTAAGGTCTCCCTGGAGCCTTCTCCAGGCTCAGCACCACCTTATCCTTAACCAACTGGAGAGCCAAGACCTGGAGGCAGCTTTCCAGAGGGGAACTCTGCCTCTCACCTCAGCAATCTCCTGCTTGTTGTCCACCACCAGCAGGGGGACACTAAGCAGGATGGAGCGGAACTTCTCCACAGCCTCCTCGAACTTGCCGGCCGTGGTGAGCTGGTAGCAGAGCTGCAGGCGCTGGATCAGGTCGTTCAGCTTCAGCCCAACAGCAGGGAGGGCATTCTTCAAGCCAGCTTCTTTCCTGGGGAAACCAAAGAAGGGTTGGGGACACCCACCCACACCCACACGGGACCACTGAAGATCCAGCAGGAACACACGGAGCATCAGCTTGACTGCAACTTGTCTTCGACATCTGGGATTCCAGAATTCTGCCACCCACAATCATGGGATGGGTTGGGTTGGAAGGGTTTCTTAAAGAGCATCTAGATCCAACCCCCCCTGCATGGGCAGGGACACCTCCCAGCAGCCCAGGCTGCTCCAAGCCCCATCCAACCTGCCCTTCAACACCCCCAGGGATGGGGCAGCCACAGCTTCCCTGGGCAACCTGGCCCAGGCTCTCCCCACCCTCACACTCCACAATTCCCTCCTCAGCTCCAACCTCCAGCTCCCTCTTCCAGTTTTACTCCATTCCCCCTTGTACCATGCCCAGCTCCCTCTCCATCAGCTCATGCTGGGAAGTCTAGCTGATTTTTCTCCAGTGACTTCCAGGCACCACTGGCAAAACACACCTGGGGTTCTCTGGATGTCTCAGACCAGCTCTGGCAGAGGCAGAACCTCAGGACCACAAAAAGCAGCACCTCAGGTGCCTCAGCCTGGTTTTAGACTCTAACAATTGACAGCAGCTCTTTAACAGCTCTGCATCCAACCACAGAGAAGTCCCACTAAAACCAGAATCCCTATGAAGATCCAGCAAACAGGAAGGTTCCTCCCTTCAGAAGAGGGGATCACAAAGTGGTGAGGGTTGGAAGGAACCTCTGGAGATCATCCAGTCCAACCCCCTGCCAGAGCAGGGTCACCTACAGCAGATCCCACAGGAACACCTCCAGATGGGTTGGGAATGTCTCCAGAGAAGGAGACTCCCTAGCCTCCCTGGGCAGCCTGTCCCAGGGCTCTGTCACCCTCACAGCAAAGAAGTTTCTCCTCTCTTTAACTTGACCCTCCTGTGCTCCAGTTTGTGCCCATTGCCCCTCATCCTGTCACTGGGCACTGCTGAGAAGAACCTGGTCCCACCCTCCTGACATCCCCTGGAGATGTTGATCAGCATTGATGAGACCCTAACTCAGGCTCCTCCTCTCCAGCTGAACAGCCCCAGGTCCTTCAGCCTTCCCTCATGGGGCAGAAGCTCCATCCCCTCAGCATCTTTGTGACCCTGCCCTGGACTCTTTCCAGTAGCTCCGTGTCCTTCATGACCTGGAGAGCCCAGAACTGGACCCAGTTCTCCAGATGTGCCCTCAACCAGGGCACAACAGAGGGAAAAACCATTACCAGAATGGAGGGAGGAGACATTTCTGGCTGTAGCTCTTAGGAAGCCTGGGAGGTTTGTGGCAGAAGGCAAAGGGGACAGGGCAGGAGCTGCTCCAGTTGCTCACCAGTTGCGGTGTGGGAACCCATACATGGAAGGCAGACATGGCAGGGCCTGGTAGGTTGTTCTGCCACGGGCATAGGTCTGCAGGAACAGCTGCTTGTAGGGTCCAAAGTTTGTCACTCCTACCTGGTCATGGAGGAGCTGCAAGAGACACATTGACCTGCTGTGTAAAAATTGCCCAGGGCAGGACGAAGGTCACAGAGACACCACCCAGGTTCTCAGCACCTCTTGTTTTATGCCCAGAGAAAACAAGGCCCAAGGTGGGTCGTTGAAGGACATCAAATGAAGCTTCAGGCTGGATCAGAGATGAAAAGACATGGGGACAAGGGCAGAGTTCTTCCCAAGAAACTCCAGGGGAAACTTACCCTCATGGCTGTCTCAAAGGAGCCTGCCAGAATGTGGTCAACAGGAAGCTGGGAATTGTTGCACCACACCTGCAAGGGCAGAGGGAAAAGAGAAGAAGACCTGTGTACTGGGTAAATTTTTCTCACCTACCCTCACCACCCCTAACTCCTGTGGAGCTCCTGAGCTGTGCTCCCAGGGGGGTGTTATCAAAAAACCTTCCAAAAAAGCCCCACCAAAGTCAAAAGTTTCTGAGGAGGACAATCCAAGGGTTGTGCTGTTACCTGAGCTGGGCTGGTGCCCTTGGTGGGTGGCACAAAGAATCCATCCTCTGCTGCTCCTGCTGGGCCAGCAGGAACATCCTGAGGGAAGCACAGGGAGCAGGGATGAGGGTGGGAGTTCCCAGCATGCAAATGAAAGCAGAGCTGGCCACAGCTTGTGGTGACCAAGCCTCTGCAGAAGCCCAGCATCCATTTCCCCACCAGAAGCTGTCACTGCCTTCCCAAGTAACAACTGGGCTACTTCAGAAGCCTCCTACCAGTTCAGGGGGAAGATCCAAATCTTCTTCCACTTCCCATCCACCTCCTTCTTCCTGTCCTTTCCCTAGACCTTCCTCTCCAAAGCCCTCTCCAGCATCCACAAAGCCATCTAAAGGGAGGGGAATGGTCAGAGCTCTTGCCCAGGCACAAACTTTGCCTTCTCCTGCAAGAAGAACTCTTGGATTCACCCACCTTCATCCAGCTGCAACTCTGCATCTTCTCCCCAGCCTTCAGTGCCAACAGTGTCAATGTCAATATCAGCAGCCAAGGCACCTCCGTTCCCTACAAAAAGGGCAGGATCCTTCATTTACTCACCTCTGAGTGGGGCAGGTGTGAAACAAAGAACCAGGCTGGGCCAGAACCTCCCCCCATCCAACTGTCAAGTCCCATCTTGTGCTTCCAAAAGGCCAAAGATGGGAGAGATTTGCCAAAGATGGTGGAAAAACCAAGCTGGGTTCCAACCTCCCAACAAATCTGAGGTGAAGAGCAACAGCTCAGGAGACAAACATCTCCACTCAGCACATCCCAGCTTCATGCAGCTTTGCAAGCACAAATGTCACCTTTGCTGGCAATTGTTCCTTCAAAGAAGCCCTTGGAGACAGTCAACAATGGCCAGTTGGTGTCCAGAGGCATGACAGGAGCAGGAGGCTGCAGCAGCCTTGCTTTGGGATCAATGTCTGGAATCTGAGAGGAGCAGAAACCAGTTAAAGGCCAGATAAGGAAAATCACAGAATCATGGGATGGTAAAGGTTGGAAGGGACCTTCAAGATCATCAGGTTCCAACTTCCCTGATAGGAATAGGGACACCTCCCACCAGCCCAGGCTGCTCCAAGCCCCATCCAACCTGCCCTTCAACACCCCCAGGGATGGGGCAGCCACAACCTCCATTGGCAGCCTATTCCAGTGCCCCCCTGCCCCTCACTGGGATGAATTCCCTCCTCAGCTCCAACCTCCAGCTCCCTCTCCCACTTTTCATCCCTCCCCCTCATCCCATCCCTCCCTGCCCTTGGCCCAAGTCCCTCCCCAGCTTTCCTGGAGCCCCTTCAGGCCCTGGAAGCTGCTCTAAGGTCTCCCTGGAGCCTTCTCCTCTCCAGGCTCAACACCCCAACTCTCCCAGCCTGGCTCCAGAGCTGCTCCAGCCCAAGGATCATCCCTTTCTTTGCTCTAACCAGCCCCAACCAGCACAGTCTCAAGCCAAATAAGGGGTGACTGGAATGGAGATGGTTCCTCCTCTCCACAAAGGAGCTGCCTGGCCAGTCCCACAACCACCAGATCCCACTGTCATCTTGTTCCCAACCCCCAGAGCTGTTCCCATGAAGCAGGAAGCCCCTGCTCACTGTGCTGACCGTTTCCTTCTCAGGATCAAAGGTTTCCTTCAGGCTTTCAGCTTCTTCATCCAGACCATGAGTTGCAGCTGTGAGATAGGCCAGGGACTCTGAAATGAGACACAACCAATGTAAGTGTTGGTTCTTCACTGCCTAGAGAAAGGAAAACTCCCACCAGCACATAAGGTCACCGAAGGGAAGAGGAGCAGCAGATCAACCCCACTTTTAGGGATTGTCACAGGATTCTGGATTAGGATCTGCAGGCAACAAGAATGTCTTCACTCAGCTCTCCTGGATGATACTCCAGCTCTTTCTGCTCACCTGCTTCAGCTTCTCAGATTCTGCTGAGCCACCTCCAAAAATGACTGCACATCCCAAACACCTTCCCAGCCCCCAGGGACATGTGTGAAGTCTGATGTTACTCACTTTGTCCACAGTTCTTGAGGATCCTCACTCTCTCTGCCACATCCCCCAGGTACAAGGCATTCTGGTAGTGGCCACTCATGTCCTTACGGATCTCAGCTAAAAAAGAGAGGGAAAAAAGGGGGAAAAAAGAGTCCTGAGAACTTTGCTGGGCTTGGCCTTCCCTGTGAGGTCACTATTTCCCTCTGGGAATGACACTCAGATCCTCCAATTCTGGAGTCCCCAACACAAGGAGGACATGAAGCTATTGGAGAGAGTCCAGAGGAGCCCTCAGATCATCTCCATGGCCTGGAGCAGCTCTGCTCTGGAGCCAGGCTGGGAGAGCTGGGGGGTTGAGCCTGGAGAGGAGAAGGCTCCAGGGAGACCTTAGAGCAGCTTCCAGGGCCTGAAGGGGCTCCAGGAAAGCTGGGGAGGGACTTGGGCCAAGGGCAGGGAGGGATGGGATGAGGGGGAGGGATGAAAAGTGGGAGAGGGAGCTGGAGGCTGGAGCGGAGGAGGGAATTGTGGAGTGTGAGGGTGGGGAGAGCCTGGGCCAGGTTGGCCAGGGAAGCTGTGGCTGCCCCATCCCTGGGGGTGTTGAAGGGCAGGTTGGATGGGGCTTGGAGCAGCCTGGGCTGGTGGGAGGTGTCCCTGTTCAGATCAGGGAAGTTGGAACCTGATGATCTTGAAGGTCCCTTCCAACCTTTACCATCCCATGGTTCTACAGTTCCTCTTTGCCACCACCCTGGCACTCACCAATCTTCATCATCTTCCTCAGCTTCTCCAGGTTGCCAGTGATGAGGTAGAGGAAGGAGAGTCTGTCAAAGTTCTTGGTGCGCTGGTAGCACATCTCCACGATCTGATGGTTGCCCTGCAGCAAAGCCACTTCTCCCAGTTTCTCCCAGCAGTTCTTGTCATCCAGAGCTTTGGCTGCTTCCAGAGCAATCTAACAAGGCAATTGAGATGGTCACCAAAGGCTTTGCAGAAAGCAGGTTTCTCTGCAGGCTTCTGCTGATGATGTCCATGATGGAAAGCTCAGGAGTTACAAGGATCTAAAACATTCCCACCAGCTGAAGGTCTGCACCTTGGCAGAGCTGCTACCAGCCTCAACTCACACTTCTTCTGCTCAATACTCCCCTTCCTTGCAGCAAAAAAAGGAGGTTTGGAAGTGATGCCCCTCAGGACAAGCCTTTCTTCCAGCACCCTCCTCACCTCGATGTTGCCACACTCCAGAGCCAGGCTGAAACGGGTCTTCTCATCCTTGACAAAGTGCAGGGCCACCTCTGGGTAGCCCTTCTTCTGCAGGTAGGCAATGATGGACTGGCCCACCAGCTTGGCATTCCTCACCATGTGCAGCACCTGCAAAGAAACAGATCATCTAGATCCAACCCCCTGCCTGGGCAGGGACACCTCCCAGCAGCCCAGGCTGCTCCAAGCCCCATCCAACCTGCCCTTCAACACCCCCAGGGATGGGGCAGCCACAGCTTCCCTGGCCAACCTGGCCCAGGCTCTCCCCACCCTCACACTCCACAATTCCCTCCTCAGCTCCAACCTCCAGCTCCCTCTCCCACTTTTCATCCCTCCCCCTCATCCCATCCCTCCCTGCCCTTGGCCCAAGTCCCTCCCCAGCTTTCCTGGAGCCCCTTCAGGCCCTGGAAGCTGCTCTAAGCTCTCCCTGGAGACTTCTCTCCAGGCTGAACAACAGGTTGGACCAGATGACTCCTGAGGTCCCTTCCAACTTGGCATTTTATGTTTCTATGAACCCAGTCTCCTCTATGACCACTTGTGAGGGACTTCCCTTGAGCTGCAGATACAGCTCAAGGGAGAGTGCAGGGTTCCTCATGTCTCCTCACCTCATCATACTTTCTGTTGATCAAAGCCAGCTTGAACTTGAACTCTGTGGGGTCGATGGTGAGGACTCTGGGCCTGCACTCCCTGTCCAGGCAGTAAACGTTGTTCCCCTTCACGCGGGTGACATAGATGGGCAGGTCCAGGGTACGGATGATTCCATGATCCCTACCACAACACAACACATCCAGATGACCACATTCCCTACCTCCAAGGAGACTCAAAAGCCCTGGAGGTTATTTTAAGCCAACTCCAAGGAACAGCACAGCCAGCCCAGTGATCAACGACCAGTCCACAGGGTGAAGCACCCAAAGATGAGGTCTCAGCTCTGGCTTGGACACATCCCAGCTGAAATAAAAGTCCCATTTCACAAATACCTGCCATAACCAAAACCCCAAGGTAGCCTGCAGAATGTCAGCTGAAGAACTTCATGCACAACTCCCAAACTCACCCCGTGGTGACAGCATATTTGATGTGGTTGCTGGTGGTGTAGATGAAAACCCCACTCTCGTCCCACGCGCCGCTCTTGACACGGATGTTCTCGTGGATGTTGCACAGGGACTCCAGCTTCCTGTTGCAGATCATGATGGCTGGAGAGGAAAGCCCCAACAAGTCAACACTGTGCCTTTGTGGCCAAGAAGGCCAGTGACATCCTAGGGTGCATCAAGAGTGTGGCCAGTAGGTTCTCCTAAGGAGGTTCTCCTGCCCCTCCGCTGTGCTGAGGTCTCATCTGGGGAACTGGGTCCAGTTCTGGGCTCTCCAGGTCATGAAGGACAAGGAGATACTGGAGAGAGTCCAGCACAGGGCAATGAGATGCTGAGGGGATGGAGCATCTGCCTGTGAGGAGAGGCTGAGGGAGCTGAGGCTGTTCAGCTGGAGAGGAGGAGGCTGAGTTAGGGTCTCATCAATGCTGATCAGTATCTCCAGGTCAGGAGGGTGGGACCAGGTTCTTCTCAGTAGTGCCCAGTGACAGGACAAGGGGCAATGGGCACAAACTGGAGCACAGGAGGGTTAAAGATAAGGAAAAGCTTCTTTGCTGTGAAGGTGACAGAGCCCTGGGACAGGCTGCCCAGAGAGGCTGGAGAGTCTCCTTCTCTGGAGACATTCCCAACCCATCAGGACATGTTCCTGTGGGATCTGCTGTAGGTGACCCTGCTCTGGCAGGGGGTTGGACTGGATGATCTCCAGAGGTTCCTTCCAACCCTGGTGACTCTGTGACCCTATGAAGTAAGGGAACCCTCTGCTGTTAAACACCTGCCTCTGAGTCATGGCTCCTCCCTTCCCACACCCTGGCCACAACAGTGTCAGACACTAAGGAGATCATGACAACCACAACTGAATTGTCACCATCTGCCTTTGTTTTATGAATCACAGCTGGAAAAGCCCTCTGAGATCACCTAGTCCAACCATCCATGCAGAGGGGGAGAGAGAAACAAGACAACACACCCACCCACCCAACCCCAAACACCACCACCCAACACAGAGAAACCCCCTCATGCAGAGCATGTCCTCAAAGTGCCACAACTACACATTCCTTGAACCCCTCCAGGGATGGTGACTCCACCACCTCCCTGAGCAGCCTGGTATGAAGGAGATGAGCTGCATCACTTGGGGCAGAACAAGAAGTTCCCTGTTTTACAGAAAGGCTCTGCTGAAGAGCCAGAGCCCACACTGGGAAAGTCCTGAGCTGCACCTTCAGTGCTAACCATGGCACTGAATGGTTTCTCCAGCAGGGATCTTGCTCCAGACCAAGGCAGGAGATGAAGGGCACTGGGATCTGGGTAGAACACTGTGTGTGTCCCCTCCTGCTTACCATGCTTTGCCAGCAGAGCCACGTGGGACATGTCAGCCGACCAGATGACATACTTGACCTTGGCAATCTTCACTGAGGCCAGAGTCCTGGGAGAGGACAGCAATAGCATCAGAGGTGAACAGGACCCCCCAAAGCCAGCTCTGGATGAGAACCACCAGTGCCCAAACTCCAGAACCTGTTTTACAGGTGCCCAGAAGGCCCTTTTTTGCAAAGCTGGAGCTGTAAACTCATGAGGCAGAAGCAAGTGTCCCTGCAGAGCAGCACAGCACAACAACCCCCTCTGTGGCTGTGCAGCAACACATGGAATCATGGAATTGTTCTGGTTGGAAAAGACCTTGAAGATCATCCAACTCAACCATCAACCCAATTCTACCAAGTCCACTGCTCAGCCATGTCCCTCAGCACCACATCTACATGGCTTTGAAACACCTCCAGGGATGGTAACTCCACCCCTACCCTGAGCAGCCTGGGCCAGGGCCTGCCAACCCTTTCCAGGAAGGAATTGTTCCCAATATTCAGCCCTGGTACAACTTGAGGCTTCCTCTTCAAGTTTTAATCCATTTAATAATTTGTTGAGCCTGGAGAGGAGAAGGCTCCAGGGAGCCCTTAGAGCAGCTTCCAGGGCCTGAAGGGGCTCCAGGAAAGCTGGGGAGGGACTTGGGCCAAGGGCAGGGAGGGATGGGATGAGGGGGAGGGATGAAAAGTGGGAGAGGGAGCTGGAGGTTGGAGCTGAGGAGGGAATTGTGGAGTGTGAGGGTGGGGAGAGCCTGGGCCAGGTTGCCCAGGGAAGCTGTGGCTGCCCCATCCCTGGCAGTGTTGAAGGGCAGGTTGGATGGGGCTTGGAGCAGCCTGGGCTGCTGGGAGGTGTCCCTGCCTATGCAGGGGGTGGGACTGGATGGTCTTCAAGGTCTCTCCCAACCAAAACCATCCCATAATTCCATGCTAACGCCAAACGAGCATTTTGAGCAGATACAAAACCTCAGGGACACCAGGCAAGTGGAGCTCGATTGAGTTTGGGGTTTTTTTTTGATGTCTCTCCACTCTTACAGCTGCTGGTTCTGCAGGCACAGCATTTCCCAGGGGATGGTACCCATCTCCCTGGGATCAATGGCATGGAGACACTGCCCTTTGGCTGTGTTCACACTCTGCTCTTGCTGAGAGTTGTTGCTCGTGGTTGGGATCACTCTGGAGCAGCCTGCAGTTGAGGCTGAATTCTGGAGGGCACTGACAGCTGTCACTTGTCCCCAGAGGGCACACACCAGTGGGATTGCAGTATCCCAGCCTCTCCCAGCAGGCTGGGAGGTCTTACCTCTTCTGCTGCACGTCGAAGAGGGTGATGGAGTCTGCATCCCTCAGCAGCAGGTTCCCAGTGCCCGCGTAGAAAATCTCATCACAGTTTGGCACCTGCACCTTCTTGGTGATCTCATTCTTCAGGTTTTTGATGAGGATCTGCCATGGGAGGAGAGGGAATGTTAGCACTCAACATACACAGCAGGCTTGGAGGTCCTGGGGAAAGCTGCCAAAGCTGTTTTTGTGGGATTGTTACACAAACCTTGGAGACCTCAGAGCAGCTTCCAGTGCCTGAAGGGGCTCCAGGAAAGCTGGGGAGGTACTTGGGCCAAGGGCAGGGAGGGATGGGATGAGGGGGAGGGATTATAACTGGAAGAGGAAGATTGAGGTGGGACATGAAGAGGACATTCTTCCCTCTAAGGGTGGTGAGACCCTGGCCCAGGTTGCCCAGGGAAGCTGTGGCTGGAACTGGATGATCTTTAAGGTCCATTCCAAACCAAACCAGTCTGTGATTCTGTGAGTCAGTCCCTCCCCAGCTTTCCTGGAGCCCCTTCAGGCACTGGAAGGTGCTCTAAGGTCTCTCTGGAGCCTTCTCTTCTCCAGGCTGAACACCCCAACCCTCCCAGCCTGGCTCCAGAGCTGCTCCAGCCTCAGATCTGATCCTTCAACTCCCTGCACTTTAACTCTCCTATTTCTCCACCACCTCCTCATCCCGCTCCCGGCTGACACGGATCACCAAGAATCCCCCTAACCCAACTTCCCCAAGAACTCTCTTCACCCCACCTCCCTGCTCTCCCACCTGCCCCTCTCCAGGTGCCACCACCCCCAGTTCCAAAGGTGACCCCCCACAGTTCCTCCCCTCACCGAGTGCATCCGATCCAGGACAGCGAAGCGGTTCCGAGCCACCCAAACCGCTGTGAGCCCCGACGAGCGTTTCCCCTCGGGGGCTGGGGAGAGAAAACACGGGCAGGGAATAAAACCTCAGGCAAGGCAACACTTCAATCAGTCTCTTTCCAACCCAGTTCGGCTGCTGGAGCTGCTTCCTGCTCAGTCAGGTTTGCCCTGGGGCTGTTGAAAGGCTCATTCCCTCTCCTGCGCCCCTTGGGGATCCTGCTGGGGCTGCGGGGGCACCGCCGCTGTCACCTCCAGCCTGTCACCTCCAGCCCTGGGGACAGCACCTGTGGGGCTCCTGAGCAGAGCCCTGTGGCCAAAGAACCCAGCAGGAGGGTCTGGGAAGCTCCTTCCACCTCCCTGCCCCTCTGCAAAGCGCCGGGAGGGCCAGAGGAGGGAGCCTGAGCTCCCCCCAGCACCCAGATGTTCTCCCTGTTTTCAGATGCTAATAATGAACCCCCAGATCAGGTAGGACGTTCAAGGGGGTGAAGAAGGGAACAGAGAAGGGAATGAGCTGCTGCTGTTTTGGGGGAATTCAACTGTCTTTAGTCCTCAGCCCCTTTTCTCACCACTCCTGCATTTCTGAGCCTCACACCAGGCCAAGTGCTGCTTCACAAGAGCTGCTTCACCCAGAGCTGCTTCACCAAGAGCTGCTTCACCAAGAGCTGCTGCTTCACCAAGTGCTGCTTCACCCAGTGTTGCTTCACCCAGAGCTGCTTCACCCAGAGCTGCTTCATCAAGAGCTGCTTGTGGCAGCCCTACCTCCTCATCAAGGATGATGAAAAGCAGTTTAAACGATCCAATTCTAATGCTAAAATAAAAATATACACCTGACTGGCTCAGCCTTCCTCTCCTACCCAAGACAAGACTTGTCTGAGGTCAATTCCCAGCTCTGCTTGGGGTTTGTGGATGGAAACTTCTGGATCTCCACAGCTCAGCATCTTCTCCTTGGCTTTGTGTCTTTTATCAGTGAGTGGAGATCAGGAAGGAAATGATTGAAAAGTGTTCTGTTCTCTGCTGGAGAGGGACAGGAAAGCTTAGCTGCCCTGACAGGTCAGGTCAAGGAGCTGGAGGACATGGGGGTGGCAACTCTGAGGGACAGGTTAAATTACAGACCTGGGAATATAGGTTGTATATAAAGCACCTGCTTGGAGACGATCATGGGATGGTTTGGGTTGGAGGGACCTGAAAGATCATCTAGATCCAACCCCCTGCATGGGCAGGGACACCTCCCAGCAGCCCAGGCTGCTCCAAGCCCCATCCAACCTGCCCTTCAACACCCCCAGGGATGGGGCAGCCACAGCTTCCCTGGCCAACCTGGCCCAGGCTCTCCCCACCCTCACACTCCACAATTCCCTCCTCAGCTCCAACCTCCAGCTCCCTCTCCCACTTTTCATCCCTCCCCCTCATCCCATCCCTCCCTGCCCTTGGCCCAAGTCCCTCCCCAGCTTTCCTGGAGCCCCTTCAGGCCCTGGAAGCTGCTCTAAGGTCTCCCTGGAGCCTTCTCCTCTCCAGGCTCAACACCCCAACTCTCCCAGCCTGGCTCCAGAGCTGCTCCAGCCTTGGTTCATTCCCGTGGCCTCCTCTGGACTCTCTCCAGGAGCTCCATGTCCTTCTGATGTTGGTGGCTCCAGAACTGGACACAGTTCTCCAGAGGGTCTCAAGAAAGCCAAGGAAAGGGGGAGAATCCCCTCCCTTGACCTGCTGGCCAGAGGACACACAGTGACCAGTAGAATTTCATGTTATCCTTGAAAGTTCCTTCAAGTGCATGGTTTTCATGAGGCCCAGATATTCCTTCCTCTAGAAGAATAACCCCTTTCCTCATCCCAAGGGTGACAAACTGGGTGTCTCCAGAGGCAGCTTTGATCCAACTCCATATTTGAAATAAATTCAGTGACATTTCATCTCAAGGAAGTTACTAAAAAAGCTCCTTTTCTCCAAAGGCACCTGCTGATTCTCCCCAGCAAAGCAGGAATCAATAAATCCAGGAGCAAGTGAGCTGGATTCCAGTTGAACTCATTCATCACTCCCACTCATTTCAAAATCTTTACTGCCCTGACAACAGAGGCAGGAGGAACCAGCTGGAGTTTCAGATCCCAAATGGAATGATAGGTTTTGTTTTGTTGGGTTGTTGTTTTTTTTTTGCCTAAATCATGTTTTGACTTGTAAATTGCCCAAAACTGATCTGGAATTTGCTGAGAGGAACAATGAGTCCTGGCACCCTGGCACTGACACTTTTACAGCCACTTTTCAGGGTATAAAACCTCCTAAACCAAAACGTAGCTGGTGAAAATCCATCTCTGCTGACAAGCCAGGAAGGCTCCTGCTGTGTCAGGAGGGAAAATGGAAAGCTCCTAATAACAAAATTATAAAATATATATTTGTAGCAGTAAAAGGTTGGGATGAACATGAATTTTTCAAGTCAGTGCAGTGTGATATAGTGAGCAGGAAACCTGCCAAATGCTGTGAGCTGCAGGGACATGGGGAAACAGGGAGAAGAGAGTCCAAGAGGAGAGGCTGAGAGAAATGAAGCTTTTTTTTATATATATATCACACACACACAGAGTTGGAGAGAGGAGGAGGGGGCAGCTACACAGTGAGAAACACTCCCAAGCATGAATGGGAATTAAAAAAATGCCTACCATCTGGATTCTGGGAGTCTGCATCCTTGGGAATGGTGTACAGGTCATAAGTGCTGTTCTCCAAGTTGCTGGCTCGCTGAAGAGAGGGGGAAAATAAACCCATTTTGAGGGAGGATTTATACAGAACTGACATTCCCAGCCTGGTGGGAAAAGGGGGGGGGGTTTGAAACACAAGTGACTTACTGTGCAGAGCAGGACAGCGTTCTCAGCTGGGTTGTAGGACATGTTGAACACAGGGAACTTGGAGCCACTGATGATGAAGAAGAGGAGAAAGTTAGAGAGGACTATTCCTATCAAAGTTATCTTCTGGGAAAAAAAATCAATTGTTCTCTGAAATGTACTGAAAAGCTCCATTTTGGTGAATTTTCTGAATCAACCCCACCTGGAAACATTTTAAGAAGATAAGTGTTTAATAAAGAGCTGGTATTTCAGTTTGAAACTTCAAGGTGGTGTAGAAAGAATTTATACCCATGCACAGATAAAAAGGCACTTTTGACAAGGGCTTGTAGTGAGAGGACAAGGGGGAATGGATGAAAACTAGAAGAGGGAGATTGAGGTTGGACATGAGAAGGGAATTCTGGAGTGTGAGGGTGGGGAGACCCTGGAACAGGTTGCTCAGAGAAGTTGTGGAAACCCCAGGCCTGGAATTGTCCAAGGGCAAGTTGGATGGGGCTTGGAGCAACCTGAGCTGGTGGGAGGTGTCCCTGCCCATGGCAGGGGGTTGGGACTGGATGGTCTTCAGATCATGAAATGGTTTGGGCTGGAAGGGACTTTGAAGACCCCCTAGAAGATCCTTCAGGTGGCTGCCCCATCCCTCGAAGTGTTGAAGGGCAGGTTGGATGGGTCTTGGAGCAACCTGGGCTGGTGAGAGGTGTCCCTGCCCACACAGGAGGGTTGGATCTAGATAATTTTGAAGGTCCCTTCCAACCTAAACCATCTCATGCCACAATTCTATGGTAAAAAACACCTTCTGGGCTGTTCTCTGACAGAAGCGTCACCAGAACCTGAGGGATGCAAACACAACAGGCCCTGTCTGGCAGTGAGACACGAAGAAGGAACTCAGGAGAGTGGCAAGAACTTGGTTTTGAGATGATGAGCACCTATCTCCTACCTCCTGAGCTGCATGACAGCAACATCCTTGGAGCTGTTGAAGTCCAGCTGGCGTAGGAAACGGTCCTTCACATAGTACAGCATGTTCCCGTGCACAGCGTAGGCCGGACGCTCCCGCTCCAGCTTGAAGACAATCATCCCCCCATCATGGCCTGAGAGAAGGCAGGGGAGAAGTCAATTTAATAGTTAATAAAACCCTGGGGCTTTTTTCATTATGAAGATGCCACTGCCAAGCCCTTCCAACCAAGGGAAGGCCAACAAAAGTCAGCATGATCACCACCATGCACTGCTCCTCAGCCGTGGTTGATGCCACTTCTCTCCTAAGCCTTCCCTCCTCCCTCCTTTATGCTTCCTTATAAATCCATGATCTGACCCTCTTTGCCAGGTTGTCACTCATTATTTAAGTGTTAATAGTTTAGTGTGGGCCCCCTTGGGATCTGTCCCATCCCTTCCCAGCCCTACAGCACTCTTGGAACCCCTGGAAGTGTCCAAGGGCTGGCTGGATGGGGCTTGGAGCAACCTGGGCTGGTGGGAGGTGTCCCTACCCATGCAGGAGGTTGCATCTAGATGGTCTTTAATGTCCCTCCAACCCAAACCATCCCATAATTCTGCTGCCAATGCAGAGATTGTCCTGTTCCAGTTTTGAACTGCAGCTGATACACTGAGATTGTGTTCCACTAAATAAGGCTCTTTCCCTACAATACACTCAACAAAGGCATCTGCAAGTCACTGTGCCCTGCCATGTGTGCTGGGGAAAACCAAATCCTGCATGGATTTCCCAGATGAAAACCATTTTCTCTTCACAGCAACGTGTGAAGACACTGAGGAGGAGCTTTTCTTACCTGCAGCAAAGAGGTTGAGGTTGGGATGAGCAGCCAACACCCAAAAGCGATCGTGATCACGGCGGAAGGTCTGGACCCCAGTGCTGAAGTGCAAGAGGAGGAATAAAGAAGATGCCAAAAAAATGGAAACCTTGGTGTAAAATTCCGATCCCAAGGTCCTAAGCTTTGCCACACTGACCCCCTCCAGAATCAAGCATGTGGAGAGCTCAAAACTTCGTATTTAAACCCTTCTGACAAAGAATATATTGTAATTGAACATCATCTCAGCAGCAGGGCCACCATCAGCCCTCCTGAACCTGCCCTTGATGTTGCTCTTAACATGTCCCATAGGGACAGAGCAGAACAGGAAAGCTGGAGAGGGATTTGGACAAGAGGTTGGAGCAAGAGACAAAGGGGAATGGGTTAAAACTGGAAGAGGGGAGATTGAGGTTGGACATGAGGAGGAAATTCTGGATTGTGAAGGTGGTGAGACCTTGGGACAGGCTGTCATGGGAAGCTGTGGCTGCCCCATCCCTGGGGGTGTTGAAGGGCAGGTTGGATGGGGCTTGGAGCAACCTGGGCTGGTGGGAGGTGTCCCTGCCCATGCAGGGGGGTTGGATCTAGATGAGCTTTCAGATCCCTTCCAACCCATCCCATGATTCAAACAACTTCTCCCCCTTGGACGATCACCCACCAGCAGGGATGTTTTAACAACTTCTGGTGTCAGATTTCAAGAAGAAAAAGAAAGAAAGACATAAAAACTCCCTCAAATGAGCCTGATCCAGCTGCCTGCTGAGCACCCACCGTTTTGACATATCCCAGACACGGATGCTCTTGTCCTCTGAGTTGCTGAGGATCAGCTCCTGCCGTGGGTGGAAGACGGCGCAGGAGACGTTGTTGTAGTGTCCCCGGCAGGTGTCCACCTCCCAGGCCTTGGATTCTAACCAGAGGTGGGAAAGAATAAGGAAAATCCTGCTGGAATTGGGTTCAGCTTTGCCACAAAAGCACAGCAGGCACTTTATGTTACAGCAAACTGCATCAGGAACTGGTTAATGCACCCAAGTCTGGCCAGGAGAGTGAGGAAGGTTCTTCCGCCCTTCTGCTCTGCCCTGGTGGGGGCACATTTGGGGAACTGGGTCCAGTTCTGGGCTCCCCAGTTCAAGGAGGACAAGAAGCTACTGGTGGGAGTCCAGCACAGGGCACTGAGATGCCGAGGGGACTGGAGCATCTGCCCCACAAGGGAAGGCTGAAGGACATAGGGCTGTTCAGCTGGAGAGGAGGAAACTGGGGGGGGGGGATCTCATCAGTGCTGATTAACATCTCCAGGGGATGTCAAGAGGGTGGGATCAGACTCTTCTCAGTGACAGGACAAGGGGCAATGGGTACAAACTGGAGCACAGGAGGGTCAAGCTGAACAGAAGGAAAAGCTTCTTTGCTGTGAGGGTGACAGAGCTCTGGGACAGGCTGCCCAGGGAGGCTGGGGAGTCTCCTTCTCTGGAGACATTCCCAACCCATCTGGACGTGTTCCTGTGGGATCTGCTGTAGGTGACCCTGCTCTGGCAGAGGGGTTGGACTGGATGATCTCAAGAGGTCCCTTCCAACCCCCTCCACTCTGTGACTCTGCAATTCCCACTGATGATCCCTCTCCAACCACCAGCACAGCTCACCCAAGACACACAGATAATCCAGACAACTCAAGAGCTCCAAAGGACTGTGTGGAGCTCAGCTGGACTGAGCTGCCAGCAGCACAACCATTCTTCAGGGAGATCTTCTGGGGTTTGAATCATCTCCCTTTCTTACTGAATTGGTGCCTATCCAAAACACTTAGGTGAAGTTCTCCTACTCCTACAAGCTTCTCCTCCTCCTACAAGCTCCTCCTACTCCTACAAGCTTCTCCTACTCCTACAAGCTTCTCCTACTCCTACAAACTTCTCCTCAGCAGTATGTGCTACAAGAGAACTGAGCCCTCCTCAAACTCCCCAAGCCACCACATCTTGGGATTATTAACCCTTCCATCATCCAGACAGGTTTGCAAAGTGGAAATGAACCCCTTTGTCCCTCAGGGCTTCCCCTGGAGGATCCTCTCACCGTTCATCCTCCAGATCTTCACCTGCCGATCATCGGCTCCCGACACGATGAGGGGCATGGTGGGGTGGAAGGCAGCCCAGTTCACCCCCCGGTCGTGGCCCTGCAAGGAAAACCAGAGCCTTGGAAACCATTTGGAAGGAAGAGAGGAAGGACAAAGGACAAAATAAATTCAAAAAGAGAGTCTTGGGAAGACAGAGCTGGGAGATTCTCAGCCACGTCCCTCCCAAGCCGCTCATCCTGGTGGGACGTGGGTCAGCCTGGGGGGCTGTCACCTGTGCCCCATCTTCTGCAGCCTCTCAGAGGCCACTTGACAGCTCCAGTTCAGAGCTGGATTTGATGAGGAGTTAGATGAGATGATCCAAGGCTGGAGCAGCTCTGCTCTACAGAAAGACTGGGAGAGTTGGGGTGTTCAGCCTGGAGAAGGCTCCAGGGAGACCTTAGAGCAGCTTCCAGGGCCTGAAGGGGCTCCAGGAAAGCTGGGGAGGGACTTGGGCCAAGGGCAGGGAGGGATGGGATGAGGGGGAGGGATGAAAAGTGGGAGAGGGAGCTGGAGATGGGATCTTGGGAAGAGATTCTTCACTCTGAGGGTGGGGAGACACCAGAAGAGGTTTCCTGAAGAAGTTGTGGATGATGGAAGTGTCCAAGGGCAGGTTGGATGGGGCTTGGAGCAGCCTGGGCTGGTGGGAGGTGTCCCTGCCCATGCAGGGGGTTGGATCTAGGTGCTCTTGAAGGTCCCTCCAACCCAAACCAGTATGATTTTTACATCCCCCCACTGCTCACACCCAGCACTTCCACAGTCACATGATTGATGCCCAGCAATATCAAGCTTTGCAGATAGCATTTTTCACCAGGAGAGCAAAGCTGGGGCTCAGCAGCAGCTCCACTTCCCAGCTTTAACAAGCCATCCTGGATGGTTGCCTCTTCCATCATCTCCTCTGTGGCTTCCAGCAACAAGAGGTAACAACATCTGCTATTTAACTGAGCTTTTGGCTGGATGTTTGGTGGCAGTGCAAACATGTCCACATCTCCTACGTTCAAAACCTCAGAAAAAAGTCATGCCATGATCTCCAAAAACCCAGAACTCTGCAGAGATGAGTCAGGTGTTTCCATTCTTCTTTTCCTGGGGTTTTGGAGGATCATTTGTGATCTCAGTCTGAACAGGCTGTACAAACACACAGACATTGACACTGTACCTCGAGGACGTGCTTCACCACTGCGTCCGTTGTCCCAAACAAATCCACCCCTGTGATGCCTCTGACATCTGATTCCACAGCTCCAGGGGACAGGTTCTTCTTCCTTAGGCCTTGTGGAACAAAGAGGGAGGAGAAGCAGGAGTGAAGAAGGCAAATATTGTATTATCAACACCATGTTTCTAATCATCACCACGTCGAGCGCTCTGCTGTGGACACACAAATTCAGGTGGAAACTGGGAGTGCAAGAGAGTAGGAAACATCCAGGACTCCCTCCTACTTCCAAAAGCACAAAAGCTTGGATCAGAGCCACCAAAGGGAAGCCTGGAATGCAGCAAGGATCATCTCAGCTGGCTGGGATGCAGAGGACTGACACATTCCCATTGCTGCCCCTCTCATCCCTTTGCTACTGGGAGCTTGTGGTTTTCAGGGAATGTCCCCCAGGCCACTCTGGTGACCTCCTGGTTCTGTATCATGGTTCTGCCTCTCAGGAGAGCAGCAGGAGACACCTTTCAATGGTGAGCACACTTGTTTGGGATGGAAGATCCTTTATCAGCAGGTTTTGAAGCAAGGAACACTCTCTGCACGGGCTCATCTTCCCATTTTGGTGCCCAGCCCGGGTCACGCTCCTCATCCCTCACACAGTTTTGGAGCATGACCTTTTCCTGAACATCAAAAACCCCTCAGAAACCTAAAGCTGCTGAAAAAAACACCACCCCCATCTCCCCAGTGTCAGCAGAAGCTGCAGGTTGACAGCAGCACTAGGAACAGTCAGAACTCACCACCAAACTGTGTTCACTGGGACTGAGCACAACAGCCACAACCATCAAACAGCCCTTCCCAGGGGGCTGGAGGAGCCAGGACACAACCCTGCTAAGGATGCCAACCATCTGGGGGGAAAATGAGGGAGTGGGATTGTATTTTGGATCCCTCCCTCATCACTCTCTGGAGTGTTTTTCCATCCTCTCAGCAGGGTGTCTGACTGGGGCACCAGCTGAGTCAATAATTCAGCCCATCCCAAAACCCCCTCATGACAAATCAGCTGAGGGGAGGGGGGGGGAAACAAAAACCAAACCACCCAAGGTCTGTGGCATCTCCAACCCAATTTGGCAGCTGGAGCTGTTGGGAGAGGGAGTGATTGTGGGAGGACACAGCAGCAAAGCTGGCAGCAGAGAGAGGGGGACAGGTTTTAAATAACCAGGCTGCTCTGTCCTCAGCCCCTGCTGGTGACACCGACCCAAACTGCAGTGGGTACAACAGAGTCTGTCCCTTGGAGGAGTTGATGTGGTTACACCAGCTGGGTCCAGGGCTGGAGCCCCCAAAATAAGGACATGGAGCTCCTGGAGAGAGGCCAGAGGAGGCCCTGGAGATGCTGGGAGGGCTGGAGCAGCTCTGGAGCCAGGCTGGGAGAGTTGGGGTGTTGAGCCTGGAGAGGAGAAGGCTCCAGGGAGACCTTAGAGCAGCTTCCAGGGCCTGAAGGGGCTCCAGGAAAGCTGGGGAGGGACTTGGGCCAAGGGCAGGGAGGGGGGGGATGAGGGGGAGGGATGAAAAGTGGGAGAGGGAGCTGGAGGTTGGAGCTGAGGAGGGAATTGTGGAGTGTGAGGGTGGGGAGAGCCTGGGCCAGGTTGCCCAGGGAAGCTGTGGCTGCCCCATCCCTGGGGGTGTTGAAGGGCAGGTTGGATGGGGCTTGGAGCAGCCTGGGCTGCTGGGAGGTGTCCCTGCCCATGGGGGGGTTGGGTCTAGATGAGCTTTAAGTTCCCTCCAACCCAAACCATCCCATGATTCTATTTTCTTCCTTCCTACTTTTTCCCTTAGGGATCCTATTTCCTCCAATGGAGGCACCTCAGGACTCAGGGATCATCAAACAAAAGCAAGAAGCAAAAATACTCTGGAGTTTTGAATTCCAACTCCCACCCTATTTCCCAAAACAGACAAAAAGACTGAAAAAGTCTTTCTTCCATCAAGTTCTATCAAGAATTTCTTCTACCACCTCCCAGTCACCACCCACAACTAAGCTACCCAAGAGAAACCAACACCCCAGTCCCCAAAATCTCCCCTTTTTTGAAATCCAGAGGCTTTTTTTTATCCTTCTCTCAGATTCAGTTTCTTCTCACTGCCTAAAAGAGATTTTTCAAGGGGATAAAGTTGATCCAGAAGTGTCCAAAACCCTGCTCCAAGCCTGGTGAGAGCTCCATGTCCCTTCTGGCAGTGACACCCACTGCCTACCCTGGCTTTCAAATTAGGCATTAATTAGGATGCAGATCTCCATTTGTAGAGGGTTTTTTGGCTGCTCAAAGCTGTGGATCCCTTCTTCTATTGCCTCAAGGGATTGGCTTCAAGGAAAGGTGGCCTAGATGCTACCCAGAGGTCCCTTCCATCCCATAATTCATGGCAATGAAGGGGAACAAGTCCCCATCAAGAAGGAATTTTTAATCTCAGGCTCCTGGTCCCAGAGCCAAGTTGCTCTGGGCTGGTTTTTTGGGGGGTTTTGTTGTGGGGGAAGGACCCCAAGGGGTGTGAGAAGCTGAGAAGCTCCCTCAGGTCCAAAGAAAGAGCTGAGATAAGTGTTGAGCAGAGTGAGAAGGAGCTGGGCTGGAGAGGCAGAGGAGGAAGATCTACTATGGGTAGATGTGTGGAGGAGGGTGGTGGGACATTCCCTGAAGGTGCCAGGATGGGAGTGGACTTGGATTTGCTGCCAGTGGACTTGGATGATGTAGCTGTGGCAGATCCCTCACCCCAAACAGCCCATCACTCTCTGGGCAACCTACCCTGGAGCAGCTGCTCCTGACTGACATGTGGGAAGGACACATGTTGGAGAGGTTGGTGAAGGACTCTCTGCCATGGTGGAGAAGCAGGGAAGGATTGTGAGGAATCTTTCTTCCTGAGGAGGAAGGAGCAGCAGGAACCACCAGCCCATGAAGGGACTCTCAACCCCATCCCCTTGTGCTGCTGGGGGAGAAGGAGGGAGAGAAATGGGGAGCAAAGTGGTTTGGGAGAGGTGGGGTGAGGTATGTGAGCCCTGCCCTGTGTGTGTCTATGTCCTGTGAGCATTTAAACAGTATTAAATACTATTAAATAGTATGAAATTATCATTTTTCCCCCCAGTTGAGTCTGTAAATGGTGAGTGAAGTCTCCTTGTCTCCACCCATGAGCTTCTCCTTGGCCTTTGTCCTCCCCATCCCAGTGTGTGGGCGTGGAAGGAGTTGAGTGAGTGGCCTCAGGGCTGGTTCCTTGTTGTCCTGGCTCAGCCTTCCAGGAATTCCAGGTTTCAAGTGGGATTTGTCCCCCCTTGGACCTGAGCAGCTCACCTGAAATATCCCACACACGTACAGTCTGATCCAGGCTGGCTGAGACCACCAGGTCCTCTGAAGGGTGGAACTGGGCACACATCACATAGTGGTTGTGTCCTGTCAACACACTGCGGGGACAAGGACCCAAAAAAAAATGACATTGAAACCCAAAAAAAGACATTAATTCACCCTCTTAGTTGGCACCAGAACCCTCCTGATCTTACCAAACACAAGTCCTGGATTGCCAGTTCCAAACACGGATGGTCTGGTCATCAGAAGCACTCAAGATCCAGGGATATTCCTAAAAAAAGCCCAAAGGATCATGTATATTAAACTAGAAACATAGTAGAAATTCCCTCTCCATGTAAATCTTTCCAGTTGTCCCCATGGATGAATATTTTTCATCTTATTTAAGGCTTTGGGGGAAGAATTGATGCCTCTAGAAAAGGCCAAGGTGGATGGATTGTTCCAATGGCAGCAAGTCCAGGGTCATTTCCTGAGGGAAATGGCAGTTTAGGGAAGGAAAATCATCTCTGGGAGGCTAAAAGGGGGGAAAATTGCAGTTCAGGGAAGGAAAATCATCCCTGGGAGGTAAAAAGGGAGGGAAAAAATCCAATTCAGGGAAGGAAAATCATCCCTGGGAGGTAAAAAGGGAAGGAAAAAATCCAATTCAGGGAAGGAAAATCATCCCTGGGAGGTAAAAAGGGAAGGAAAAAATCCAATTCAGGGAAGGAAAATCCTATCTGGGAGGTAAAAAGGGGGAAAAATTCCAGTTCAAGGAAGGAAAATCATCCTTGGGAGGTAAAATGGGAGAAAAAATTCCAGTTCAGGGAAGGAAAATCATCCCTGGGAGACAAAAAGGGAAGGAAAAAATCCAATTCAGGGAAGGAAAATCATCTCTAGGAGGTAAAAAGGGAAGGAAAAAATCCAATTCAGGGAAGGAAAATCATCTCTGGGAGGCAGAAAGGGGGGAAAATTCCAGTTCAGGGAAGGAAAATCATACCTGGGAGGTAAAAAGGGGGAAAAATTCCAGTTCAGGGAAGGAAAATCATCCCTGGGAGGCAAAAAGGGGGAAAAATTCCAGTTCAGGGAAGGAAAATCATCTCTGGGAGGCAGAAAGGGGGGAAAATTCCAGTTCAGGGAAGGAAAATCATACCTGGGAGGCAGAAAGGGGGAAAAATTGCAGTTCAGGGAAGGAAAATCATCCCTAGGAGGTAAAAAGAGGGAAAAAATCCAGTTCAGGGAAGGAAAATCATCCCTGGGATGTAAAAAGGGGGAAAAATTCCAGTTAAGGGAAGGAAAATCATCCCTGGAAGGTAAAAAGGGGGAAAAATTCCAGTTCAGGGATGGAAAATCATCCCTGGGAGGCAAAAAGGGGGGAAAATTCCATTTCAGGGAAGGAAAGGGGTAATAATCCCAATCCAGGGAAGGAAAATAATCCCAATCAGAGAGAAAGTAAGAAAAATTCTAGTTGAGAGAATGAAAATCATCCCAGTGAGATAAAAGGGGGGGAAATCCCAATTCAAGGATGGAAAATCATCCCTGTGAGACAGAAAAGAGGGGAAAAGTCCAGCTCAGGGAGAGAAAGGGGGGAAAATTCCAAGTCAGGGAAGGAGAATCATCCCTGCCAGGGAGAGAGGGAGCAGAGGAACATCTCACATGGTGGAAGAAGGTGGTTCTGATGTAATCCAAGTGTCCCAGGAGGGTGAAGAGGCAACGACGTAGTTTGTAATTCCAGACCTGGCCAAAAACAGAACCAGAACCATCAGAACTTCCCTTCCCACCTTCCTGGATTGGTTTGGGATGGATTCCCATTTGGGAATTCCCCTGCAGGGATCCCCCTCTTCCATTTGAAGGTGTTTTTCTAATGGGAGATGCAACGAGGCTTAAAGTGGCTCCAGTTAATCATGGAATCACAGGATGGGTTGGGTTGGAGGGACCTTGAAGATCATCTAGATCCCACCCCCCATGGGCAGGGACACCTCCCAGCAGCCCAGGCTGCTCCAAGCCCCATCCAACCTGCCCTTCAACACCCCCAGGGATGGGGCAGCCACAGCTTCCCTGGGCAACTTGTTCCAGGCTCTCCCCACCCTCCTCCTGAGAACCCCGATTCCCAAAATTCTTTCCCTCCCACCCACGCTCTTCTGAACCAGTTTCTTTAGACAATTCACCCCCCCAGATGAGAAGGACAATCCCCTCCTGGGGAATGAGAGCTGAAGGGCTGCAGATCTTACCTTGATTTTGTAATCATCACCTCCAGAGACAAAGAGAGGCTGCTGCTTGTGGAAGTCGATGCCTCGGACGGGGCCTGGAGAGAGGAGGAGGCAGCAGGATGGAAAAGCCATGGAATTATGGGATGGGTTGAGTTGGAAGGACCTTCAAGATCATTCAGTCCCACCCCCTGCATGGGCAGGGACACCTCCCAGCAGCCCAGGCTGCTCCAAGCCCCATCCAACCTGCCCTTCAACACCCCCAGGGATGGGGCAGCCACAGCTTCCCTGGGCAACCTGGCCCAGGCTCTCCCCACCCTCACACTCCACAATTCCCTCCTCAGCTCCAACCTCCAGCTCCCTCTCCCACTTTTCATCCCTCCCCCTCATCCCATCCCTCCCTGCCCTTGGCCCAAGTCCCTCCCCAGCTTTCCTGGAGCCCCTTCAGGCCCTGGAAGCTGCTCTAAGGTCTCCCTGGAGCCTTCTCCTCTCCAGGCTCAACACCCCAACTCTCCCAGCCTGGCTCCAGAGCTGCTCCAACCTTGGATCATCTCCAGGGCCTCCCCAGCCCCTTCCACCCCTTCAAGACCACAATTTATGTCCTCCCTCACTCCTGTCACCATCAACAAGAGCAACAACAACAAATCACCCCACATCCTCAGATCACTCAAGACCCCATAAACACCCAAGATGTCCTTCCCAAACCTCCCCACCCAGGTGTCCCCACCAACCCCTCACAAAACCCCCCCCAAACCTTCAGGCCAGCATTTCCAGCTTCATTTCCACCCCCCACCACCACCCTGGAGGCCACAAAAGCGACACAGGCTGAAACCTGAGTGACTCTGAAGCCACAAAAACCCCCTCAGCAAAGCTTCAGAGCCCCCCAGCCCCCCCCAGGGGGGTCCCAGCACCTCCTGCCCCCCCTTTCCTCACCGTCGTGCTCGTCGAACTTGTCGATCAGGGTGCACATGCGATAGTCCCAGAGCTGGATCACCCCGTTGTGGAGGCTGGTGAGGATCCAGGGCCTCTTGGGGTGGAAGCTCAGACCTGAGGGGGCACCCAGGGGGCTGGGAGAGGCACCCACAGCCCCGGGAACTGGGGAGGGGGGAGTGGGAACAGGGGGGAGGGAAACGGGAACCAAGGGGAGGGAAACGGAGCCCAGGGGAGGGGACACATGGATGGGGGGGAGAAATGGGGCCCTGGAGGGACACAAATGGATGG